GTAATAGTATTGTAACCAAAATAATTCCATTCACTATAGGACAATGGGGAATTACCGGCGTTTGTAAAACACCGTAATAGACCACAAAACGCCGCAAAAAGATAAAATGACGTTTTTAAAATTCGTTGCCAATGTGGCCGCCGTCATATCTTTGTGGCATTTTAAAAACGCCGCTAAATAGTTTAGATGGCATTTTTTATAAAGCGCTACTAATTCTTAACCTCCGTTAACATTGTCTGTTAGAAGGGTTAACCATGACGTAATCATGACGATATTTTGCGACGTTTTTATAAAAACGCCACCTTTTCTCTTTTTTTTAAAAAAAAAAAATTCTTAATTAATGAGCTTTTAACTTTTGTTCAAAGCAAACCTATTCTCCATCACCATCACCATTTTCAAAATATATACCATAATGTGAGTTAGTATCCATTTTTCAATTTTTCATAACTAAAAAAAAAAAAAAAAAGAACCCTTAAAACACAATATGTTAACTCAAAAAAATAAAAATAAAAATAAAAATTACAAATTACAAATTACAAATATTTTTACATTTTAATAAATAAAAAAATAAGGAGTGCGCCCTCTCATTCTTTGTCATTCTGAAGATCATAAAAGCTTTTTTCACTGTAATCAAAAGGAAAAAAAGACAAACTCAATCTGATTAGAAAGTAGGCAGAAAAAAATTGATTGGATAGTTGGATTCTACTATCAACCTAATAAATATTAGCCATTGAGTATGCCATTATCAATTGAAGACTAAAAAATGATGGTCTTAAAAGGCTATTGCACAAAAATGATTCGTCATACAACCCAGTAAGTAAATCTGCAAAATCTATCACTAACTCATCATGCAACCTAGCAATTAATATATAGGCATTATCCATCATTAACCAGTAAATCATTATCCATCATTTCCCTCAACGTCAAGCACAACGCAGCATCACTAAACATCTAACATAAACAAATTTATAACTGCAAAAATACACAATCTCATTACTAATTTTGAGATCATATTTTGTGCAATGCTTCATTCAACCAGTAAATCACATTCAAAAGTTGAATAGTCATTGTCATAATCCATTTGGGCAAAAAGTTATCATTTAGAATATAGCTATAAATGCAGGCTACTATCAAAGAACTATAAATGGAACAATTCCTTTTTGATAGCACAATGCAAAATGAAAATACAAGCTACTGTCTTTCTAATTCACTCAGATTAAGCAAGGCCTATAAAAATTATTACAAGGTTGACACAATGAATAAACTTGTCTATATGCCTAAACCTTGAATTTTCATACTAATAAGCTTATGCATATTATGTTTGTATATTGGAATAAACTTGTTTCACCATCAAATTAGAGGTAATCACCCTAAGAAGCTGAACAAAGCCAAAGGAAGACTAAAGAAAATATTAGGGACTAGAAGTGAAGTCAGCATGTTTGTTCTCCAATTCGTTCGGTCCAAAATCAACAACTGTAGTAAACATGTAACGCAGTAGTTCATATATAAAGCCTGACCAGAAATTATTTATGAAATATTCCAGTAAATATGCAAATGGAAAAGTGAATATACTCTTTTGTTGTAACCAAGTGTTAACTTGGAAAGCTGTAAGCCCATAGGGCATTTGCTTTTGTTGTTAACATGTAATACTTTTTGTAATGAAACTCTGATAAATGGAAGAATGTAGAACTTTTACATATCAATGCATTGTCTTATTTGATGGGTTTAATGTTATTATTTTGAGGGCGTTACATGTCTTCATTGAACCTAAATTATAATAATAATGAACAGGTGTTTTCATTTTCTTTTCGTTCTTTCATCTCAGGAACGGGAGAGAAACATAACCATTTTCCCCTTATTTCTTGGGATACAAAAAAAAAATTAGGACAAATTGGTAATAAATCCTATCCATGGGTCTTATAGTAGGTTAGGTCTCATAACTTTTTTGTTATAATGTAAATGAGTAATCATATGTATCATGAAATAAATGTCAACAAAATTTTTAGAAAATTAATGTAATAGTGATTGCATAACATATAATAAAATATTATAACTAATCTAAGAGTGAAGAATGTTCATAAAATTTTTTCGTAATATTTCTTTCATGACATGTAATATTATTGTAACCGAAATAATTCCATTCACTATAGGAAAATGGGGAATTACCGGCGTTTGTAAAACGCCGTAATAGCCCACAAAAATGCCGCAAAAAGATAAAATGACGTTTTTAAAATTCGTTGCCAATGTGGCCGCTGTCATATCTTTGTGGCATTTTAAAAACGCCGCTAATAGTTTAGACGACATTTTTATAAAGTGCTACTAATTCTTAACCTCCGTTAACATTGTCTGTTAGAAAGGTTAACCATGACGTAGTCATGACGATATTTTGCGACGTTTTTTTATAAAAACGCCACCTTTTCTTTTTTTAAAAAAAAAATTCTTAATTAATGAGCTTTTAACTTTTGTTCAAAGCAAACCTATTCTCCATCACCATCACCATTTTCAAAATATATACCATAATGTGAGTTAGTATCCATTTTTCAATTTTTCATAACTAAAAAAAAAAACCCTTAAAACACAATATGTTAACTCAAAAAAATAAAAATAAAAATAAAAATTACAAATTACAAATATTTTTACATTTTAATAAATAAAAAAATAAGGAGTGCACCCTCCCATTCTTTGTCATTCTGAAGATCATAAAAGCTTTGTTCACTGTAATCAACAGGAAAAAAAGACAAACTCAATCTGATTAGAAAGTAGGCAGAAAAAAATTGATTGGATAGTTGGATTCTACTATCAACCCAATAAATATTAGCCATTGAGTATGCCATTATCAATTGAAGACTAAAAAGTGATGGTCTTAAAAGTGCTATTGCACAAAAATGATTTGTCATACAACCCAGTAAGTAAATCTGCAAAATCTATCACTAACTCATCATGCAACCTAGCAATTAATATATAGGCATTATCCATCATGAACCAGTAAATCATTATCCATCATTTCCCTCAACGTAACATAGCATCACTAAACATCTAACATAAACAAATTTATAACTGCAAAAATACACAATCTCATTACTAATTTTGAGATCATATTTTGTGCAATGCTTCATTCAACCAGTAAATCACATTCAAAAGTTGAATAGTCATTGTCATAATCCATTTGGGCAAAAAGTTGTCATTTAGAATATAGCTATAAATACAGGCTACTGTCAAAGAACTATAAATGGAGTAATTCCTTTTTGATAGCACAAGGGAAAATGAAAATACAAGCTACTGTCTTTCTAATTCACTCAGATTAAGCAAGGCCTATAAAAATTATTACAAGGTTGACACAATGAATAAACTTGTATATCTGCCTAAACCATGAATTTTCATACTAATAAGCTTATGCATATTATGTTTGTATATTGGAATAAACTTGTTTGACCGTCAAATTAGAGGTAATCACCCTAAGAAGCTGAACAAAGCCAAAGGAAGACTAAAGAAAATATTATGGACTAGAAGTGAAGTCAGCATGTTTGTTCTCCAATTCGTTCGGTCCAAAATCAACAACTGCAGTAAACATGTAACGCAGTAGTTCATATATAAAGCTTGACCAGAAATTATTTATGAAATATTCCAGTAAATATGCAAATGAGAAAGTGAATAAGCAAGTGAATGACAAAATGACTAAAGCATAACTGCAGCTTTTAAGGTAGTGGATTTTGTCTAATCCATCATTCAACAAGAAGGAACTTGTAACGTTGATTTACCCACATTGGCCAAACAAGATTGTTTGTCAAGCTCTCAGTATTGAATGACAACAGGAATGGCAAATGCAAAGGGCAGAAAAGCCAAGAAAACTACTACACCTTGAACATGTGATTTATTATGGGTTTACTTTTCCTCACATATTTTTCTCATCATCATCTAACATAAATGAATTGTAAGAAATTTATCAAAACATGTTATTGGAAACAAATTGGCTAATTTGGTAGTAGGATTTCGAACAATATATTAAATATTCAATCAAGGGCTTTGGTTGACTTACAACCCAGCTCACTGCAAGTTTTGGGACCCATCTCTGTCTCCAACAAAATATGAGCAATGAGCAATGAGCATTTAGCAGAAAATCAACATAAGAAAGCTGAACCCACAAATTAACTGGCTGACTGCCTTTTACTCAAGATCAACTTCATTGTACTATTCATCCATACCATACCAAAGAGACTAAAAAGCCAACTAATCAACTATTTTATTAGGGATCAATGCACTGTTGTATAGATTTCCAGCCTAACAATGCTAACCAAAGTGAACTAACATAGCAGCAAAGGAGGCAACCCATTTGAATACCCCATCATCCTCCCCATTTTCCTCTCCCACAAATATATCCTATCAAAAAAGTAAAAACCAAACAAAGTAGAACAAGCACAGAGAGAAGGCAAAAGCAAAAGTACTAGAGATGAGAAGGCAAAAGCATGAACGAGAATCCAATCTAGTAACCAATATCAGAAACATAAGAGATGAGAAAACTATTTTTTTCTGAAAACAAAAAATAAGCGCATACAAAACAAAGAGCACAGAGTAGATTGATAGCTTGAAATCAACAAGGAGAAAAAAAAAGGAGAGGAAATAGCTGAGAAAAAGCTAACCTGAGGAAATGATTTCCAGATTGCTTCTACTCAACTCAACGTCGACAAGAATTGGCTAAGAACAAAGCAGATAACAACAAAGACATCTCAAATCAGTTATCTCGCCAATGCTGCACAAAGAGATTGACATGCTATACATACAAAAGCAACTAGATCTAGAGACTTGTATATATATGTCCATATGTTAATAAAAGATGAATTGCACATGTTAATAAAAACCAAATAAAATCAAATAAGAAGAAGAAGAAGAAGAAGAAGAAGAAGAAGAAGAAGAAAACAAGAGACATAGACAAAGAGAGACAGAGAACATGAGCAATCAAAGTGAAGTAAATTTGCTAAATTGAATTTTTGACATTTAAAAAAAAATGACAGACAAGAAACATAACACAGCATTTGAATTTAATACAAGATTTAAATCTCTCTTACATAGACACATTCATAAAAATTATAATTCTTAACTAGTGGATCGCATATTAACTCTTATGAACACTAAGAAAACCAAAATCTGTGTTTTTGACCCACAAAAGTGTTTGAAAGTTTTCAAAATTAACCCGTATAACCATCACAAGAACTTATTTTACAGATAAACACTAAAATGATTAGATGAGGAAATTCATCAGCAAGTCCTGTTTTTGAAACCCATAATCAACTCATGTTCCTGTATTTAGAAGAAGAATAAAAAAAAAATGAATTCTTGACATTTATAAAAGAGATAAACAAGAAACATAACACGGCATTTGAATTTAACCCAAGATTTAGATCTCTCTTACACAGACATATATATCAGACAAACACAGACAATGATACAGTTAGATCCATCAGCAAAATTTAGATCCATTGCTTATTATTCTTGGCCAGATGAACATGATTTACAATGATATAACATTAAGAAAGGCACGTGCTAGAAACATTCCAACACACACAATTGAATTATACCTTCAGTTCCTCATCACTCAATAAGGAGAGGGCTCCACTAGGATGGCAGCAACGTGAAACCACCACCATGATTATTAGTTATTTTAGCTCCCAGCCTCCCTTAGTAAACAGAAAGTTTTCCTTCACCTCCAGGATCCATGACAACCAATTTCTTTTCAGTTCCCTCACATGCTCCTTTGCCGTCTGATTTCCCAGTTTTAGTAGAGCTTCCTTAATTCTCAATTTTTTTGTGTGCATCAATTGTGAATTCATGCCAGTCATTTCTTATAATGCTATATTTTTTTAATTAAATTTGATTTATTCATTTCTAATAGTCAGCTGGAGGAAATAAATGCAAGTAGGAGACCCAAAATAACTGACACAAAGGCCTATTGAATTATGTATATATATATTGTTTCTAGAATTATATGGAAAAAAAAATTCATTTTTCATATACTAGAATATTCAAGACAGGCACTTCAGATGAGAAGCCTGAGCACATGGCATTGACATCACATTCCCCTAACACTACAGAGCCACTAGCCCAGTAAGCCTGGAAATTTCGGTGTTGAAAACCTTTGAGCTACAAGATCAAATACAAGATTATTTTAATTCACACCAAAAATTCTGTTATAGTCCGTGAACACAAAGGCGTTCAGGTAAAAAAGAAACTAGTAAGTTCATATAAGATTAAAAGTTAATATTGAAAAGTACCTTTGCAACAAAAGAGCAATATCAGCCGCCTTTGGAGCTTTCAATGTTTTTGTTGCCCATAAATTTGGCAAGAAATAACATAAGTGAACTTTAAGTCAGCTTGTGCCCGTGCTTCAAAGGAAGACTGAAAACCTTGTGTTGTTAGGACTTTTGCTTGAGAATAATCATCCTATGTTGATACAAGAAATAGATGAGAAAGAATATCTATGCCTTTGCTTCAAATAGTACTTAGGACTGATCAAAATTCACAAAAGAAAATACCTCCCAGAGATCTTCCTTCCAGGAAACTTTGTAACATTAATGCCCTTCTATCGTACATCATGCCATGCACTAAAATTCTAGCCATGATAATGGACACTATTAGAATGCCCTTCTATAGTACATCACGCCACGCACAGTAATTCCAGCCATGATAATGGACACTATTAGAATATGAAGTAAATATCTATGTCGTGTACACTTTCCAAAGGATGCTAAAATTGAAAATAAACAAAGTTTTCCCATAAGATTCAGGGAGCAATATGAATAAGCATCAACGGAATCTAACCTGTCCTAGCTAAAGTCTGGCCTTGATAAGATGCCCAAAACCGAAGCTCCAAAGAAGCAAACACAAACCCACTTATCCTGAGCCCAATGGCCTACAACCAACATCGCATTTTTTTTAAGAAAAAAAATCAACGATTCTAATGTTCTTCCTTCAAGACAAAAAAGGAATAACGTAGTCTAATTATCTATGTTCATTAGAAATACATAAAATTATGTTCTACCAATATACAAACGTAGATTGAAAATTTTGAAAATAGTGAGATTGAAAAACAAAAAGATCAAAGTGAATTAGATTCTACTGAAAAGAGAGCAGACCAAAAATAGCAAGTGAACAAATTAAAAAGAGTAAAATTCGACTGAAGAGAGGCCAGATCAAAGATTTGATGGAGCAATACAGAGAGAGAGAGGACCTGAGGAATGGTAGCGACGGGAGGACCAGACCTGAAGAGGAGCTTCAGTAGGTAGAGTGCACCCAATGCCATCGCGTTCGAGCTTTTCTTGGAATAGAAAAGCCTATAATTTTATCGGCTGGTTTCCTCTTGCTCCGACTTGATCAGTCTCGGTCCCTGTCTCATTCCCGATGATCTTGATTCCCTATGATTGAGATCCCTTTTCACTCCTTGGTCTCGTAACCCCGCCGATTTGTGCAACCCAACCGAACAATCTTCCTCTACAAAATTATCAGAATCAAAATCAAGAAAAACAAAAAAAAACCATCAAGAAATTTCAACCAAATTGATGCAAGAATCGATGGATTTAGAATTAGATCTGAACAAGTGATCGAAATCAACCCTGGTGAATCTCTCAAGGAGCACGAGGAGACAGAGAAAACCCTGGATCTAGGACGGAGAAAGAAAACAAAATGATGGAAAGAGAAACAAGGACAGAAGAGACGGAGGACCGTTATAAAGTCAAACACGCGTGTCTTAATTTCACTTTACCTCTTCCACAGCGTTTTAAAAAAAAAAAATGTTGTCTAAAAAATGTGGTTATAAGCAATTTTTGTTGTAGTGATTATAGTGTTTTTTAATAGATTTAGTCCTATTTTTATATTTCTAAATATTTTTGAAACCGATTTGCCTCCTCTTAAACGTGATTGCCATATAAATTATATGTTAAAAAAGGAAACTTGATCACACAATCTTCAATATGATTTGGCGAAAAAAAAAGAAGAATTTTCTTTATCTTTTTATTGGGAAATTCTTAGGGTCTTGAATTGAGCTGTCTCGAATGACTCGAATTTGTGTTCACTTACAAAAACAAAATCAAAATCTGATTTAAATAAATAAATAAAACCAGAAAATAAATAACTAACTTACTTGATTAATTTGTTGAATGATATCCTGATCATGTCCAGTGTTTGACACTATGTCCTTAAAATAGATTCATTCTTTCCACGGTGCTTTCAGAAAATGGACGTTTATCTCCCAGGATAAAATGATCTATCAACGAATAAATGCAGCACTATAATTTATTCGAAAACGAAACACACTTTGTGTTTACACTCTTCTTACAAAAATTAAATATAGCAAAATGCAGAATATATTAGCAGAAGGGAAGTACGAATTTTCTGAATGAAAACATCAAATGAGGGCTACTTATTTATAGATGCAGTGGTGACAATTGGTTTTGAATTAAACAAGTGCTAACCTATTTTGAACAGGTATGAAACCTATTCGGTTTTGAATGAACAGATTTAAATCTGTTGGGTTCAAAATTCAAACGGATAAAAACCGTAAGGACCTGTTTGGGTTTAGAGAAAAATCAGAACAGATTAATTCCGGAATTAATTTGAATTCTAGACAGTTGGACAGATTTTATTTCAAAAAAAAAATTAAATTAAATCCAAATGTTTTTGGCCCAAAAAGATTAGTATTAGGCTAAACAAGCCCAACCCAACCACACACCACGCACCCGCGCCCAAGCCTAGGCCCAGCCCAGCCCGCCCAACCTACCGAACGGCGCCGCGCGCGTGTGTGGTGATTTTTGGATCCAATGGGTCTAGCCCATTATGCCCATAACCTCCATCTCTACAAAACTTGGGTACCCTTTGGGGCACACCCCAAGTTCCAATCCCAAGCTTTATAAACCCATTCAAAACTTTCCACCAAATCACTGTGGGACATGCCTTATTCAAACCTTTAAAGTTTTTCCACCAAAACTCCATTTCCATGGAGCACACTTTCGCTTCAATTTTCCATTCACTCAATAATAGTTTTGAGCAACCAAATATACCACATGAATCACAACGTGCCATAGAACACGTTACCACATAGACCTGCCAACTTTGGCTTACAGGTCCCACCTAAATAATTGACCAAAGTTAAGAAAAAAATTATGTTTTCCAGAATTTTTCCCAACCATTTCTAATAGGATCCACAATGAATCCTATGGATCCTTAGGATTGGTGTATTCTTTTATATCTTGTAGTTTCCGTGGATCGAACTAAGTATCACAACTTTTTCTACCCATCCTGTATATTGTCTTTTTCATTTTGTGTTGAAATAGAAATTTAACTTATTACTTATTATTAGTTGTTATTAGACGAGATTAATTTATATAATAGTGAGACACTATAACAAAATTGGATTTTTGTGATTTCACATCAACGACATACAGTAAATGTAAGTCGTGGTTTTTCATTTTTACGACTTGCTATTTTTGCATGTTATAAATAATTTTCCAACCACGACGTGTCTGTTGCATAGGTCGTGAATGCTAATAGCGATGATTTTTCTACGGCTTGCAATGTTAGCCACAAATAATAAAACTTTCTATGACGTGCATATGTCATGCTGTTAATGCATCAACTATACACAACATGTGTACATCAGTTGTTAAAAATATTGAACATTTCACGACACACAAAAAGCCAGCTGTTAAAAATTTCACTTTCAACGACGCACGTATATCTTCCGTTGAATATATTTTACTTTCCCCAACATGCAATTTTTGCCGTAAAATCTATGACCCAAAAACAAGTTGCGAAAAAATAAATAAATAAAAAATAACTTTAGCACCAAGTGCCAAAACACAAATTAAAAAAAAGAATTCAAAATACATTTAACTCTTTCTTTCTAATCAAAAGGAACTTAGAAGGCTAGGGTTAATCACAAGGAACATAAAAGAGAGAGAGGAAGTGCGTTCAATACTGTTAGGGGCAGAGTATTTCTCGCAATCGCTGTCTTTGTAAGCCTCTCTCTCTTACCACCCCAAACCAACATAGCCTCGAAAATCCATGTTGGAAATTTGGATTTTATAGGCTTATTTTGGGCCAACTTTGAGCCCAAAATAGAGAAGGTCCCACACGTCTTTTGGAGTGGGTCCGAAGAGGTGACGTGTTCCTTGTCGCATGGAAAGTTACATGGTGAAGACGATTTGTCAAAACCATTTATGAGTGAATGGGAACTTGACGTCATTTTCACGTTCGTGGAATGAATATTTAAAGAATTAAATGTGGGTTTCCTTGAAATGGATTGTCTCACATTGAAACTTTAAGAGAGTTTTTGTGAGTATATAAGCTTTTGGTGTACTAACTTGGGTTGGGCCCCAAGGGGCACCCCAAGTTTGTAGAAAGCGAAGAGTTATGGACAAAATGAACTTTAGCCCAAACCACCACGCGCGCCACCGTTTGTCCAGCCGTGCCTGGTGCGGGTATGGGTCGGGACGGTTCTAATATTAATTTTTTGAGGAAATTTATTTGATTTTTTTCCAAAAATTCTTAGCAAAATTAATTCAAACTTGAATTTAATTTCTTGTCCAATATTTCCTCTTCCAATCCAATTTTTCCAAACAAATTAAACAGTCCAAACAGTTTTCAGATGTGTTGGAACCCGAACAGATTTAAAACTACCAGACAGATTCAAATCTGCCAGCAGTTTTTCCAATAGATATAAACTGCCCAACAGTTATCTGTTTAAACTGTAACGCCCTCAAAAATAACCCATTATATATATCATTGACATGCATTACTTAAAGAAGACAATATATTAATTCATTCATCAGAGTATTACTAAATAAAGCATTACATGTAACATTGAATAAAATGCCTTACAGGCTTACATCTTTCCAAGCCAACACTTGGATACAAAAATATGAGTTCTAACTCAAAACAAGAAAAGCCCTAGGCTTGAATGTTTACATGTACTAATAAATAAAGACAATTAACTAAAGGTAGTCTTCTTCAAACCAGAAGCCAAACCCTCCCAAGCTAAGTCCTTGGAGGTAGTTTATCACCTGAACCTGAAAATGATGTTCCCATAAAGGGTGAGCCACAACCCAGTAGAAATATACTAAACCACATATAAGCAATGAATAAAACAATAGCATTCAACAGATGGTTAACCAAGATAAACAATTACTTCAGTTTATAGTCTCATGACACTATTGTCTAAGACACGTTTTACTTTCCAACTTTATCAACATGGCTCAGAACCTGGCCAAACTTACAACAGTGAATTATATATCATATTCACATTACTTCCAATATCAACAAAACAAATGAGACTCATGCTCATATCAAAACACTTCATACTTCCCGTTTGATACACATTGTAGTGTTGTATCAATAACATGTAAAAACACTTCAATATAATAAGCACACATAAAAATGGTGCTAATGGAGTCCATCCCCTATCTCCTCCCAAACAAAATCCGGTTTAGAGGTCCATCCCCTATCTTCCCCTAAACCGTGGAGTACATCCCCTATCTCCTCCCACACACAAAACAATGTATGCAA